GGACATCCCTGTTTGTTAGTTATTCTCACCTAAACAGAAAACATTCTTCTGGTTGTCCTGATGTATTTCTGACCACATTCAAGCCTAATTTAAGAAATAGCAATTATGGCCAATGGCACCAGTCGCTCTGTGTTCAGATGGCTCATGCTAACCACATGCAGTCTGCACGGTTAACATTTTGTTCTCTCTTGTGTTCCAGATGTTTCTGTAAAGACTGCCTGGACATCTTGGTGGGCCCGGGAACCTTTGACAAGCTGAAAGATGTTGATCCCTGGAGCTGCTACATGTGTAACCCATCACAGTGTGATGGAAACCTCAAACTCAGACCGGACTGGAGGGTTAAAGTTCAAGACTTCTTTGTCAACAACAGTGCACTGGAGTTTGTATGTACCACACTTTTACTCTCTCAGTGCACATTTCTGGTTCATGTCAGCTTAAATTCTCATTAAGTTTATCATTTAACATCTAGCGTCATCCAATACAACAATTTTACAACCACAAGTTTATTATAAGAGAGCCGTTGATTCAGCTCTGTGGTCATTTTGGAGGCAGTACTTTGTTGTTGCTGTTTATTGTTAATTATGGAAAGATGTTTCTCCTTTCAGCATACAAAATATTAATTATTAACACCTAATAACTTTTAAGTTTCAATGTAAAAGTGTCTCCTGCTATGTTTAAAATCCTGTAAAAGAGCAGAAAGTGGACAATGTCAGCAACATATTAGTTCAAGAATGAAATCAAAACATATTCAATTATTTGTTAGTTTGATGGGTAAAATACCTGATTCCACGACTGTTTTATACATTTATATCATACAGTCATGTATGTTTTAAGTTGTATAGTAAGTTGTATCAGGTATGTGAGTGAAGCTGCAAATTAACCTTTATCTTTGTTTAAGATGATTAAAGTTTGTTAAAGATGATATTAAATGAGCAAATTAATCCTCTTTTACTGGAGTTGTGTCAGAAATTAGAAGATTACATTTAGGCTTCTATTAGATTGGGGGAAAAGAAAATTAATTATTAATAAATCTGCAAATTATTTAATAGATTAATTGAATGTTTGGTCTATAAAATTTTGGAGAGTTTGAAATAATATAAAACAGAAAAAACTGTTTAATAAAATATATTTCTCTGGAACTAGAGTGTCTGTTCTTGAAACAACTTAAATAATTAGTTGAATATGAAAATAATTACCAATTAATTTTATGTCAATCAGCTATCTTAGACACAACTTAATGTGAAAGTTACTCATCTTCAACACTTGCGAGAGTTCACTCTTAGTACTTTCTTTGTGACAGAACAAATAACCAGCTGATACAGCAGCTTGTCGGTTGATAACAATTGTCTCTGGCTGTGTACGCTGTTATCTAACTGACTGGTGCTGTGGTTTCTGTTTCACCTCAGGAGCCTCACAGAGTTTACCCGTCTATCCCTGCTGATCAGCGCAGACCGATCAAGGTGCTCTCGCTCTTCGACGGCATTGCAACAGGTTGGTTCCCAGCATCATGTGACAGTAAACCCAGATAAACTCATCCAGTTGTTTATAACAGTGGTTCCCAACCTTATTACTGAAGGGTCTCTTTTCTATTATTGTTTAAACTGACGACCCCTGACACATTTTATGGATATTTTCTTATTATATTGAATTCAATAACTGATAAACTTTACAGTCAACACAATAGCTGCAGGAAGTTTGTGTAAAATGGCTTCTTTTGGATGAATTTGATCAGATTATTTCCTGTGAATATTAATCAGAAATTAGTTTGAAACATTTTATATAATTCTCTGTCTTTGCTATGTATTGTTTAATTTGTTTTACCAATCACACATACTTAATAGACTTGTTTTGGACAAATTCAGTTAAATTTCTTCTCCATGACTCTCAGACATTGTTCTTTTAGCTCTTTGGTTGTTTATCAGAGAGTAAATGCTCTGTGAATATGACTTGTCTTCAGCCCTTTAAAGTTTAGAACTTTAAAAATAACAATTCATTTAGTTTTCTTTACAGAATTTGACTAAATACTGATATATAGTCCTACTGTGTATATTCTTTTTACAACCCTAAAATCAAGAAGGTCTCGACTTCTATGTTGGGAACCACTGTTTTATACATTAGACAGAAGAGGAGCCTCAGTCAGACAGAAACCTTGAATTTCAACCTGCTTTCAACTACTTCCATCCTGACAGGATACCTGGTGCTCAAAGACCTGGGTTTAAAGATGGAGCGCTACATTGCTTCAGAGATTTGTGAGGATTCGATCGCTGTGGGAATGATCAAGCACGAGGGAAAGATCGAATACGTCAATGATGTTCGTACCATCACGAGGAAACATGTGAGTACAAGCTGGAGGAAGATTACTCAAACAGCAACCACTGAAAACAAATCTGAACTCACCTTTAACTCTGTTATCTGTGCATTTCAGTTAATTTCTGAGAGTATTTATGAGAACAAATAGGCTAAAAACAATATAAAATGCAAATTTAATCTAATCTCTGTAATTCAGCTGGCTGAATGGGGTCCATTTGATCTTCTGATTGGAGGCAGTCCGTGTAACGACCTGTCCATGGTCAACCCTCTTCGAAAAGGATTATTTGGTACGCAGCTTCTAAACGTATTTTTAAAGTTTTCAGATAAAATACTGGAGGTCCCAGTAGACATCCTGTACACACATTAACTCTCTTTCTTTAATCATTGTATCTGTTTATCTCCCTGTTTGTCCTGCAGAGGGCACTGGAAGGCTCTTCTTTGAGTTCTACCGCATATTGACCATGCTGAAGCCGAAGGAGGACGACGACCGTCCGTTCTTCTGGTTGTTTGAGAATGTGGTTTTCATGAGTGCCAACGACAAATCGGATATCTGCAGATTCCTTGAGGTGCTGATATATTGTATTACACACACAATGGCAGAGAACAAACTGCATTAAGTCTGATTGTTCAATATTTGTGTTTTCCATTTTTTTCCCAGTGTAATCCAATTCTTATCGATGCAGTGAAAGTCAGTCCTGCTCACAGAGCGCGCTACTTTTGGGGAAACCTCCCTGGGATGAACAGGTACGTACTAATAGACAGTCATATTCCTTTCTTCATGTATATTCTCACATTGAAAGACACAAATGTATTCTTTAAGAAACATTTTCACTTTACATGGCTGTCTGTATTTCTCTTATAGACCTCTGGCTACAGCTTTAGATGACAAAGTGGAGCTCCAGGATTGTTTGGAAGTCGGACGCAAAGCAAAGGTAGAAACATTTAGTTATTAAGGTTCCTCAAAACAAAAGAAGGACCTTAGAAGGAATAAAAAAGTCTTACATTTAATTTACAAAAGCATTTCTCTTGTCTGCTGTAATGTTAGCTATAATTTTGTATCTGATTGCGGGCTGACAGGAGACGCTTATAAACTTAAAGGAGGGTTTTTTTAGCAGTGGATTGTGCTGCAGGAGGTTGTTCAAACCTTTTTCAGTCAGCAATATCAGACCTGTAGCAAACACAATAATTCTTGATGATATAATTGATCATATGATGAAGTTAATTTAAGTTTTTGCTAAAATCAAGCAAAACATTTGCCCATTATGAGACTATATTATCATCTCGTCAGTCGTCTGTGAAGCACTTTTAACTGTAATAAACTATGAAAGGTGCTATGCAAAATAAAAGTTTGATTGATTGATTGATTGATTGATTGATTGAATCAGGTATTAAATTGTATTCTCTGTGATATTAAAAATAGACTTAAATCTAACTCAGTTAACGCTGCAGAGAAACTTGGATGAAAGCTTACTTCTGTCAAAAACTGATTCTTAAAACACCCTGATTGTGATTTGTCGTCTCTTCCTGCAGTTTGACAAAGTCCGCACCATCACAACAAAGTCTAACTCTATAAGACAGGGCAAAATGGGGCCATTACCTGTCCACATGAATGGAAAGGAGGACTACCTGTGGTGCACCGAAATGGAACAGTAAGTATTTTACATCAGAGCTATGATCTCATGTTTAGGGTATATATACATATACACATATATACACATTTTCTGAGCACCAGCATCTTTTTTCAGTTGTTCGGCAACATGCTGCTGCAACAGTGCTCGTTAATGTTTTTTTGTGCGGCCACTGCAGCCACTGGGGCAGCTGGAGGTCAGGAGGTAGAGCAGGTCGTCCACCAATCCGAAAGGTTGGTGGTTCGATCCCAGGCTCCTTCCGCTGCATCTGTATGAATGTGTTTGAATGTATTAGTTTCGGTTTGTGACAGCCTTTGCCATCCCTGTGTGAATGTGACATTTAGTGTTAAAGTGCTTTGAGTGGTCAGAAGACTAGAAAGGCACATTTTAAGTACAATTGTTTATTTGTAGTGTACAAGTATGAAGCATAAACAACACTTATATTCTTAACTACTTTACAATGCCCGTCTCTGGATGGGCCTTTAAAATACATAAAAAGTCTCTTCCACTGCAGCCATACTTTGCTTTCCTGTCTGTTTATACACTGTTGCTATCTAATAAAGGCCAAAAACATAATTCAAAAAAGACTAAACTTTGGGTCGTTACCTCGTCACAACACATTAAGTTAGTAGATTTTTTTTTAACATTTCCACTTGTGGTTTACTCTTAGGATCTTTGGCTTCCCCAAACACTACACAGACGTGAACAACATGGGTCGGATGCAGAGGCAGAAAGTTCTGGGTCGGTCCTGGAGCGTCCCCGTTATCCGTCACCTCTTCGCTCCGCTGAAGGATTATTTTGAATGTGAATAACGACTGTGAACCGAACATTCGCTCTCATATCAGAGCAGCAGCGGTAAAAACCTCCTGCCTTATCCTGCCCTGCGTCACTAGGTAGATCAAACTCTGCTGTTTGGTATTTAATGTTTTAACTTTTAGAAATGAATCCTGCAAGTTCTCAGTCGTCCACTATCACCAGCAGGCACCGACACTTTTCAGTTTTAAGGTTTATTTCTTTCAGATCTCTTTTGATAAATGATGGTGCTGTTATCAAACCATACCGTCGTTCAGAACTTGAGCTAGAATCACGAGCCGTTCTCAGACGGTTAGCCGGCTATCTTTGGGCTTAACTCAGGTTTTTCCAGGATCACAAAGCTGGTTTACTTTTAATAAATCACCATGGTAACCTGCTGCAGGTCCACCGGACACGTAATACTGAGTTTACAATGAAGTGATAAAAGTTGTAATAGACATTTTTATACATCAGTAGAATTACAGCGATAAGCCAAGTGACCCAAAGAGAGACTTTGAGTCACAGTTTTTTTTTATCCTGTATTTAATGAATGTATTTTATGTTAACTTTCTTCCTACATTGTCGGTATTTTATATAGTTTTATTGTATAATCTTACCAGGGATTTTAAGTCTGGTCTAATCGTTAGCTGTGATTAATTTCTATGAGTGAATCCCTCTAGACATTTTTTTTAATCTGCTTTTTAAACAGTTTTAATCCAAATTACATTTCACCTCACTGTGGTGCACCAGTGATTTTCTCCTCACTGGATCTGCACATTTTTATCTGTTTTTAAGGAAAACTATTTATGCAAGATAATGCAAAATATCATGTTTCTACAAACATTCAAACTGTCCTGAGTGTGAGTATTAGTGTAGTAAGAACACTACTGCAGAGGTCTGACTTTAAACATAATGTGCAGTGTCTGTTAACATTGGACTCTTGTACCTTAAAGGATCATAACGATGGTTTTGCACATTTCCTCCCATTAATCATAAAGTTTGTACACTATAAAAAACTAACTATATTTTACAGCGTAAGTTACACACTACTTTGTTTTAGTGTGAAATAAGTTGTATTACTATAAAAACAATGAATACTGTAAGAACAAGATACTAATTAAAACTTAGTATCTCAGTATAACTCACATACAGTATACTACGTTGTGTTTTGTTTTAGGGTTGTTGTTTGAAAACAAAGCCCCAATCAATAAGGAAAATGTAAAAAAAAAAATGATTTTAAAAAAATACTGTCAAGCAATAATGAAAAAATAACCAAAATAAAAATAACAGAAATAATGAAAAAACTATCTAATAATGATAATAAAATAATGTTTAAGAATTAAAACAACCAAATAAAGAAGAAATTGATTGATGAGAAACCGATTTAAATAAATAAAAGGTGAATAATCACTTTAATAAATCATTGAGGCCGGAATATATCGAGGCATTCATCTTTAAAATCCAAAATATTTCAAGTTGACTAATTTCACCACATCTGGAGGGTTAATGACATCAACGACCGCTGCTTTTAAAATTGCAGATCATGCCATGCCATGGTGAAGCCTTTTTAACTTGACCTTTGAACTTTTGTAGCTTCATCACTGTCAAATCAGAACTGAGAGTTCATTCACTTGAGTTGAGTTTTTCCAACAATATAATTTATCTAGTTATTTGAATGAAAATACAGTAACTGTGTTTTGCAGCCATTTTATATATTTTGGTGGATTTTGCACCGTTGGTTTGACAAAAAGACATCCGATGACTTCACCTAAATTGTGCTACGTCAAACAATTAATCGATTATTCGAGGAAACGATTGTCAGATTAGGCAGTAATTGTTATTTGCAGCCTCACATGTAAGAACTTGTGTTTTCTTTATGCAAACATACACACAAAACCACTGTTATGGTCCTTTCAATCTCAGTGAGATACAACCCTTGGGTGTAATATCTGTTTTTGTTTTCGAAATGTCGGTTTGATCTTTTTTTCATTCTTTAATAAAACATCTGTTATACTGTTGTTAGCTTTAACAGTTAAGTTTGAGTCACTGTTGGTTCTCCTGTGATGGAGCACACTGTATTGTATCTCCTCACTGTTGTGCAGTTACTCAGACGTTTATGACGAACAGGCCTGCAGTTGAAACGTGTTCTGATGTGGTCGAAACTTTTACCTCAATGATTGTTTGTTTAGGACTTCATGGTGCTACGCTAACGATGCTAACTGTGCAAGTACTGTTCAGTTTTTGGTTTCTGTCTCTTTTATATTGTTTTACCTCCGCCTTTAATCGGCGACTTTTCATGTAGGATTTTGTTGTTTAATTGTGTGTGTGTTGTTTTAAAGACATTCATGTAGGGAAATGTTAGTGTGATGTGTAACCAAATGGTAGTGAGGATGGCATGCCTGGTGTTGACTGTTTTTTCTTTCATTTTTATCAGGTCCTGATTAATTTAGCCAAAAAAAAAAAGACATTTCCTGAGCCGAAATATCCAGTTTTGACTTGTTTTATGCCATGACTAATAAAACTCAGAAATTCAGTACAAAGTGCCTTGGACCCTCTTTTATAAAAACATCATTAATGTCTAGTTTACTCCAAGTTAATATAGATAATTTGTCAATTATATTAAAGAAATCTGAAGTTTACTGGCGCTGAAACATCAGCTGATGGGATTCAAATCTTAGCTGAATATTGACAAGCAGCTATAATTCACCACAAGAGGTCAACACTGTTTCCCACCGTGCTGCAGTGAATCATTCGGGGCACGCTGGGAGAGAAAAAGTGGCTTTATGTTGAGCCCATCAGCCTCCCGTGGACTCGCATCCTGTCACAACTGCAGCTGTTAAAGAGATGGATGAGTTCACCAGAGTCATCCACCCAGTGCCGATGTGTCTCAGCATGAAGTAACAATAATATAAACATAAAAACAATATATCAAACCTGTCATACTGATTCCAGATAGTGGCACTAAGATAGTGCAGGGTGCTCTTGAACGCAACATTTTAGATATTTCCAGGAGATAAAAGAGTCAACATTTACTGTGTCAAAGTAAAAGCACTCTGTTTTTTTACAGTTATATATGATGTTTCTGGATTAACGAAGCACACATATATAATAAATATAAAATAAAATATATTATATAAAGTAGCAGTTCTTTCAGAATCATATTTATATCACTGGAATATAAGTTATAATTATGCATTAATGTTAAATCATCACTTAGAAGCAAACCTTCTGACTCCACCACCCCGGACCAAGCACCGAACCTGGGGCGACAGAGCGTTCTCTGTAGCTGCCCCCTCCCTCTGGAACTC